CAGTATCAGTCCAGCCGGACAGCCATGCGGTAAGCACCGTCATAGAGGTGTGTGCAGGGTTCCCCATCATTCAACACAGCGCCCCCCCCCCTCTTGGGTGACTTGGGGGTCAATGTATTGGGCAGATTTTGTGCCCTCCCCTCCTAGGTGACTAGATGAGGCACCCCCCCCCCCCCCCATGCGCACGCCTATGAGTACCGTAACGTGTCGCCTTTCCTACTGCATAGACAGGCGACCGACATTTGCGTGCGGTAGATGCCGTATTTTCGGCTTTTACGGTACGAAGGTGCTAAGATGCCCAAATGAAATGGCCATGTACTGAAGTACAATAAAAACTCGGGCTTCCTCATGCATTTGCCTGAGACGACTGGAAGGTAAAAGCCATGAAGACGATGTTCTAGATGAATTACCTCTTCAAACGCTCACTCTTAATGCCCCTAGTTGCTGCATAACTTTGCAGGTAAAAACTTCAGCACAAACGAGGTCTAATTACAGAGAGATGAGACGAGCCCTGGCGCAGTGCGCGTGTTCCGTCCTAATTAGCGCTAAAGTTTTCACCTTCAAAATGTACTGAAGTAACATTTGTTTCGGATGGAGAGAAGTAGCACAAGCACAGACCAGGAGCGTAGACAGGGGGGGGGGGGAGGTTACCCCCTTTGAAATTTTTCAATTTTGCACATGTATATATACACGCACACATACAAACGCACACACGAACATACACGAAGTACAATCAACCCCCCCCCCCCCCCCCCAAAAAAAAAGTTCTGGCTACGCCCCTGGCACATGCCTGCGTAGCAGCTGCACGCCCAATACTTCTTTCAAATGTGCCCGCGTGGGAGCCTTCGTCTGTTCTAGGGGCGAAGCTCCTTATGGCGTGCCTTGTGCGTCCCTCGTAGTACGTAACCAACAGTGGCAGATACCCGAAATAGGTATAACATTTGACTTCCAAGGTGGTGCCGGTGAGAGATTTCTTCTGTGCGTTAACAATAAAAATAGTGCTCAATGTACATGCCAATGGCTGCTAATGGGGAATGAGAGACAGGAGCATTCGGCTTTTAGTTAACGCGCACGCTGCGATCCCCATTAGCAGCCATTGGCATGTACATTGAGCACTATCGGACAAGAAAGGGTTGCTACATTACACTCGCTGGGTGTAACCTTTATAGTTTTAGAAAGGTTTAGCAAGGGTTGAGCCGCAGAGCCATGAATACAATGAACTAGTATATACCATGAATGAATTCGAGGTGGTTAAAGGGGGGAAGCAGATACGAAGCGCAAGCCGTAAGAAATTAAAAGCTGAACCCTCCGGTCTCTCATTTCACATTAGCAGCCACTGGCATGTACATTGAGCACTATCTGACAGGAAAAGGTTGCTACGTTATACTAACTGGGCGTAACCTCCTTGGTTTTAGAAAGGTGTAGCGAGCATTGGGTCGCAGTGCCATGAATACAGTGAACTAGTATATACCATGAAATCAAGTTGGTTGAAGGTGGGAAGTAGACCCGAAGCGCAAGCCGTGAGAAAGTGTGCGTGTGCCACCTCTCGTTTAGTCCTTGGAATGTCCACTGAATGGCGGTGCTTCTATATGGGGAATACATGATAAAAAGATGCGAGATGGTGGGACTTGGGTGGGTGGGTGGATGGGTGGGTGGATGGATGGATGGATGGATGGATGGATGAATAGATAGATAGATAGACAGATAGACATCAGTCTCATGATGTGCAAACAGATTTCTAGTGCTACAAGAACGTAACATTGCCTCCTGATTCTAGTTTTTTGGTGTTCCTTCAAACACGCTTACTCACAAGAAACATCTCACAACTTACGTCACCACAACTTCATCTTCAATGCTAGTTGCACCATGCTCCATTTTATTTCACATTCAGCATGAATGCTTTCTATAATTGCGATGCAAATGATTGTCACTCCCAATTATCAACATAAAGGCTTTGAGTATATTTATTTACATTACAGTGGTGTAGCCAGAAATTTTTTCAAGTGGGTTAAACCACGCTTGGTGTATGTGCTTGAATTTGTATGTGTGTGTGCATACAGATTCCACTATGAAAGTGATGCACATGATTGTATTGTGATGCAACTATCCATAGCAATGTAGAAACTAACAAAGAAAAAACTGCCAAATTCTGACAGGATAAAGTATGAAGAAGGCAACACTTGACCTCCTTCTTTATCTTGTGTGCTGTGAGAATTCTGTGCTTTTTTTTTTCTCTGTAGTAAGTATGAACCACCTACCCCTAGCCTCAACCTTAGGAAGTGTGGAAAAATTGGTCGGACAATGTGTTGTGGCTTCTGCCCTTCTAGCACAGCCAGTCACTGGTACACTCCGGCATTGCGAGCGAAAAGACATGCGTCTGCATCAAACTTATTTTTTTACCAGGTAACATGGCGCGATGGAGCATTTGATTGAACAGCAATGCGCTATCAAGTTTTGCGTGAAGCTTGAAAAGAATCTAACTGACACATTCCAGATGCTTCGAGAAGCCTTAAAGAATGACTGTAAACTAAGGTTACAGTTTGGGACGCGGCACAAGGCATTCAAGGAAGGCTGGGAGGAGGTCTTCGACGAACCCCATTCTGGACACCCAACAACCCGCCCAAAAAAGCGTGCATGAGCGAGTGTCGCATCGAAACGATGCTCATTGCCATCTTTGACATCCCAAGAATCACCCATTTTAAGTTTGTACTACAGGAATAAACTGTTAACTCGGACATTTACCTGGAAGTGCTCAAGACTGAAAAGCCAGGTGTCCGTGTGAGGGCTGGCATCAAAGAGATGGTCAAGCTCCACCATGACAATGCCTCTAGCCACCCGTCCTTCATCGTTACCAACTTCCTGGGCTGGAGCGAACACCCCTGTGAATAACCGCTCAATAACGTTCAACGGTCTTGAGCGGATTTCGCATCGAGGACTTCTGTGGTGGCTTCCATGAGTGGCAGACATGTCTCCATAATTGTATTGATGCAGGGAGAGAGTAATCGAAGAATTTAAAATAGAAATTTCGATAAAAACCCATCTCGTTAGGATGACATTTGACGAGGGAAGCAAAGTACACTTACCGAATAAAGGCAAAAAAAAAAAACAAAAAACATTTTGATTTCCCTACAAAAGCCTGGTTCACAACCATTCTGAACAATGCATCCGTATGAAAGACGATACATCATTGTCTTTCGGGCCTTTATTTGGTGCCCTTTGTTTCTCTGATAGAAGAATTTCAATCATTGGTACAGGAGCAATCAATAAATTAATTTTTTTTCAGAAAATGCACAATCCTTTTATAAGGGACCCTGCATATACACATCCACAATTTAAAAATTTTTGACAAATATAAATGTCCACCTCTGACCCCATGGCTATGCAGTGTTACATCAGCATCATTACTTTTTTTGTAGGCTATGAATTTAGACATCCAAACATCACTCAGGAAACATCAACTCATCACTGCAAAACTGAAAGCACAACAAAACAAAATCAAGAACAGGTATATCTGCCATACATGTATTACTGCATTCTTGGTATTTTTATTCATGTGTTTCATGCTTATTCTACTTAATTAGCCATGCACAGGCATATACAGGTTTCCTCAATTTATTTCTTGGATTGATGTAGTCATCAACAGTTTGTAGACAAAACTTTGCAAAAGAAGTTGATCTAATCAAATATAGAATTGCCTTTTTGAATAAACTCTATACTTCTCATTACTCAAAGAACCTTGACCCACCATGATGTCCCAGTAGTTATAATGCTCGACTGCTCACTCAAAGGTTGCGGAATCAAATCTAGGCTGTGACAACCGCATTTTCGATGGAGGCAACAATGCTAGAGGCACGTGTACTTTGATTTAGGCACACTATAAGGAACCTCAGGTAATTGAAATTTCCAGAACTGTCCACTACAGCGTCCCTCATAACTACATTGTGATTTTGCCCCTTACTTGAAAAAAAAAAAATACTGCAAGAACCGAGAACCTCACCCAGGTACCGCGCCAACTTACCGTTGCAGCACTAAATAAAGGGACTTCAGGTTACGTCGAGCATACTACTCTGCATGGGTGAACTATTTCATAAGCTAGGTAATTATTTATTTTTCAGTGCTTAAAACCATAGCACTGGAAACTTCCACATAATTCACTTTCATGGCAAACCAAACCTTCAATTTCCTGTATTATCTGCAATGTCATCTGAAGACACCTAAGAAATTCCTATGGATAATTATTTCTCTCTAAACTCAACAGCCGAGGATTGTGAAAACTTTTCGAGGCATCTTGGCCGTTTAGTTCCTGAATTATCACACTGCCAAAGAAAAAATTCTTTTCTTATTTTCAGCTCTGAGTAGCAACCTTGCATTTATTACGCCACAAAAATTACAGAAGACTAAGCTATGTTACTCAGGGGATCAAAAATGAAGTGAGAGACGTTGAGCATGTATTGAGAAGCTCTACCATCAGCTACACAACACCTGGTTTGAGCATGAAATTCTTCACAGAAGGCAGTGCTAGATTTTCCCTGCTGAAAGCTACGTCCCTTGTGAGTGCTTCACAACTGCCTTTAAAGGCGGCACAAATTTCTTCACTTGCTTGCTCGGAGTTTTCCAGCATGTCGTGAATCCGCAACACTCGGCAGTAAAGAGTTTTGTTTTTTACAAGGTCACCTTCTAGCAGAATAAATCAGTCAAGTTACCTCCACATTAGGAACAATGGCACCCCTGCCTTTCTGGGCTTCATTGGGATGAAGTCCTAAGATGTGGCGGTTGAACCTGCTTCTTTGGGAAAAGGATGCATTACAATAGATGCAGGAATATGGACGCTCTCCTATGTGGGTACGAGTGTGCACTACAAGGCTGCTTTTTCGTGCAAAGGATGCATCACAGTGGCCACAGGAAAAGGGACGTTGGCCTGTGTGAATGCGCATATGTCGCTTGATGTTGCTTCGGGATAAAAAGGATGCATCACAGTGGCCACAGGAAAACGGACGCTCTCCTGTGTGGGTGCGCACGTGATTACTGAGGTTGTGCTTCTGTGAAAAGGATGCATCGCAGTGGCCACAAGAAAAGGGACGTTCACCTGTGTGGGTGCGCATATGTCGCTTGACGTCGCTTCTGGTTGAGAAGGATGCATCGCAGTGACCACAGGAAAAGGGACGTTCGCCTTGTGTGGGTGCGCATGTGCAGCACGAGTTTGTGCCTCTGCGCAAAGGCTGCATCACAATTATCACAGGAAAATGGACGCTCTCCTGTGTGGATGCGCTCGTGACTCCTGAGATTACCCTTTCGTGAAAAGGATGCATCGCAGTAGAGACAAGAGAAAGGACGCTCTCCTGTGTGGGTGCGGATATGTTGCTTGACTTGGAATCTGGATGTGAAGGATACATTGCACTGGCCACAAGAAAAGGGTCGCTCTATAATGCGGTTGGGCATGTGGGTGCGCATGTGCTGCTTCAGGTTACATTTCTTTGAAAAGGATTTACTGCAGTGAACACAGCAAAAGGAACATTCTCCTGTGTGGGTGCGCAAGTGTTCCGTCAGGCTTCGTTTCAGCGAAAAGGATGCATTGCATAGCGTGCAGGAGAAAGGACGCTCTCCGGTATGGGTGCGAATGTGCTCTGTGAGATGAAATTTCACAGTGAAAGTAGCCGGGCAAAGGTGACACTGGAAGGGACGCTCCCCTGTGTGCCGGCGAAGGTGCACATTCATGTGTCCTTTATCCGTGGTCGTATAGGCACACTGCCGGCAGGAATGCAGTCCATCTTCTACAAACACGAGTGGATGGTACTGGTCACGAGATGCTGTAGGCAAGGAACCTGCACAGCCACAGAAAGCACCGCAAGGCAATGCAAATCATATATCCCACACTATACATAGAACTAGACTTGAGCAGCAAAATAACAAGAATTTCTGCACTTATAAATCAGTTTATACAACAACCTTTGCCAGTGCAAATGTGTTGCTTTAACAAAGCAGTACATTTATTCAGGACATGCTTAATACAAGTTTCCATCTGGGTCATTCCTTATCAAATCATCCAGTGTTTTTCTGGCCCCCTTGAATATGGCTGAAAAAATTTTCACATGTTTTTTTTTTTTTGAAGTTTTTAACTCATCCTAGTCGTATATTTCCATTACAAAAATTTACCTTCCTAATCATGAGAGTCTGCAGTTTGGCGCCGACTGAGCTAGAGAGCGTGGAAGAACAATTATTTTTTATGTTTTTAGAATGCATGCGATAAAATGTCATTTGCCACAAGGTAATGAAGCGATTTAACTGTAAAAATAATGACTTACTTATGCATATCAATTCCCCGAGGACTTTTCAGATGAGCAATATCGAATTAGGTTGCCGAATCAGGGATTTGTTATCGGGAGCGTGGCAAGCTCGAGAGACACAAATGTGCTGGTGTCCTGTTTAACATATTACAAATTAATAATAATTTAGGCACGAAAGCCATAGCAAATGGTCTGAAAAAATTGAAAATTTCAATATTTAGGGGGAAAACCCCTGTATTCAGTGTCAGAAAATTCGTATTGGTGATCAGACTAAAAATATGCGCCTCATTTGAAAGCTCCAAGTATTAGATAAAAATTAATGAAACTACAAGAAGCTATTATTTTTCGAACTTGAAAAATATTTTTTTTGTTATGTATCTCCACCAGATTTTCGCCTACGTAAATGAAGCGGAATGATGCACTTGCAAGAGCAATCTTCAGCAGGAACCCACTGACAATACAGACGGCAAACTTGGTGCTTTCGACTGAGAAGTCAAAATGGGAGTGGGGCTACCATACACGTTCCATTGTCAACAGAAGTGCACTATAAGGAATGTAATCAGTGTGGCGACTTCTAAATCAGCCATCCAGCTTAGAGATTTAGTCACAAATGCTACTTTCCTGGGGAGTTGTGCAAATATAGGTGTGTTTTATGCACTTAATAAAATATTTATTCATATTCAGTACGTAAGTCTGATAGCATGTTAGTAGCATTGATGCAATACATAGATTAACCCTATCATAATGCATATGCTTTATTTTTTTTTCTTGCTTTCAGGCGAGAACCCTGCTCCCCAAGACAAAAAGCCTGTCGTATGGCTACACAAGTGAAAAACAACGTTATATTAAAGGGACACTATATTCAAATAACAATTTATGTCATAGTGAGAGCTCAATGGAGGACGACATCTAAGACGACAATATTATGAACAGCAGTGCCCTACTTACAAAAAAACTAAGGTAAATACACAACGAAAAATGCGCCGGAGTAGGACATTTTCAAAAGTATCCCAATGACATCAGATGGACCACCTACAATTAACCACTAGTAATCAATCCAGCTGCACTAATTAAAGAACCTACCGTGTATCAAGAGACGCAATAAAATGCTGCTTGTTCGTTTCTGTTTGATTCTTGGAAAGAATTACGCCGGACATCACTACGGGGAACAACACGAGTGCTTCAAAAATTCAATTTTCGTGTAGTTATACTGGACAGGTGGTGCCATCTAGCGGGGTGCAGTTGAACCAAACGTCTTCATTCTCGGAGCCAATGACGCAAAATTGATCAATGGACGTTGTTGCTCCTGTTGCTCCCGCTGCTTTCGGTCTGCTGCTACTATAGCAGCAAAGCCGGGCAACGTTGTGCGTGGCAATAGTGATGTGAATCAGTCCAATCAGTCCACTTCTTAAGGCGGGTAATTTGATGTGCGCTAACCCGATGCGGACCACAAAAACATGATTTTATTTCAAAATAGACTTTTCCTTGGCACAACTAATACTACAAGGTTTTTGGACTGCTACTTCAACAATCAACATTGACCTAATAGTTGCCTTTAGTTCAAGAACCAGTATCCAAGTAGATAGTCTCGTTTATGTTGGAAGTAAGATATTATTTATACTGTATACTTTACAACAACTTGATGGCTCATCTGAGAATCCTCACCAGCGACGTAGCTAATAAGGGAGGAGAAGCTGCTTAACTCCCGCTCTATCGGCACAGTCCAGATATTTTTTAGCTGGGCATGCGCACACATGAAAACAAACATATGAACGTACAAAAGGTATGACCCTAATCATCTCCGCCCTCCCACACACCACCCCCCATAGAAGAATATTGTTCTGCTACAATACTGGTTTCTACACTATGGCCACATTCATTATTCGCAACTTTCACGATTTATCGGTGATGCGAGTGTACATCCAACATGGCGGTTGTTGAGATGATTGCCCAGGGTACAGTGTCTAGAAATATACTGCCTAGTGTGCTGAGCGTGGGCCAGGAGATTTGATTGATTGATTGATTGTGGGGTTTAACGTCCCAAAACCACTATATGATTATGAGAGACGCCGTAGTGGAGGGCTCCGGAAATTTAGACCACCTGGAGTTCTTTAACGTGCACCCAAATTTGAGCACACGGGCCTACAACATTTCCGCCTCCATCGGAAATGCAGCCGCCGCAGCCGGGATTCGAACCCGCGCCCTGCGGGTCAGCAGCCGAGTACCTTAGCCACTAGACCACCGTGGCGGGGCGCGGGCCAGGAGATGGCCCCGCAGCTGATGGCTGCCGGCAGCGCCCGCCTAGTGCGCTGCTGTGCGAGTGGGTGCATTTGCGTTCAATCCTTGCGCTCCGCAAGTGCTGCGAACCATTCAGGAGGCCGAGCCCCACGAGGCCAACTATTATTTTCCTGCATTTTTGGAGTGTTTTTTCACATAATGCTTTAATGTATAAGAACTACTAGATTGGTTTCACAGTACTGGCGCTATGCAATACCAAATGAAGATCATTTCGTGGCATACATATTGCCATCCGCTACTGCCCGCAAAAAAAAAAAAAAAAAAGACGCAGATCTCACGTAACTTGGGAATCAATGCTATGCAAGGTGACTCCGTTGTAATTTTTTATTAGGTGTGTAAAGGGGGTTTATTGAAGGACTCAGCAAGCGGGTGGTAGCTCTAAAGGAAGGCAGGCGAACCCAGATGACGGTGCTTGATCGCCGATTTCGTGGCTTTTTCTTGTGCTGATGATAGCTGACCTGATGGTATCAACGTCTTTCTTATTCACTACAATTACCCCCGGCGAAAAAGTTGAAGCCATCCTGGCGATCTAACACGTGGGGACAAGCGGGTCAAAGTACGGCTTCAGACGGTTTACGTGAACGATATCATGTCCACGCCGACGACGGTCGCTCGGTGGCGTGAGGGGTTCAATGGCGTAGTTCACGGGTGAAGTACGCTCGACCACGCGGTAGGGACCATGATAATTGGAGAGTAGCTTGGGTGATACACCAGGGGCGCAGGGCGGTACATGAAGCCATACAAGTACTCCAAAAACGAACATTTGTGCAGAACGATGGTCGTCGTCACGGATCTCCTTCTGGCGCTGTTGGTCGGATGTAGTAAGCCGCTTGGCTAGCTTGCGGCACTCTTCTGCGTAACGAGCGGCTTCCGAGACAGGCTGGCATTCGGAGGAATCTGGCGAGTGTGGCAGTAAAGTGTCGATGGTGTGTGATGGTTCGCGACCGTACAGGAGAAAAAATGGGGAAAACCCGGTAGTGACTTGCGTAGCGGTGTTATACGCGTATGTAACAAATGGGAGAACGAGGTCCCAGTTTGTTTGATCAGAAGCGACATGCGTAGCGAGCATGTCCCCCAGAGTACGATTAAACCACTCAGTCAAGCCGTTCGTCTGTGGGTGGTAGGCTGTACTCTTCCGGTGAACCATATGGCACTGTTGAAGAAGTGCTTGTATTACATCGGAGAGGAAAACACGCCCTCGGTCACTGAGGAGTTCTCGAGGAGGACCATGACGAAGCACAAAACGATTGAGTATGAAAGTTGTGACGTCTTGTGCTGCAGCTGTGGGGAGAGCAGCAGTTTCAGCATACCATGTTAGATGATCCACTGCCACGATAGCCCATCGGTTGCCTGCCGTTGTTAATGGTAGTGGTTCGTAGAGGTCAATTCCTACTCGGTCGAATGGGCGGTCTGGGCATGGAAGTGGCTGCAATGAACCTGTTGCAGGATGTGGCGGGCCTTTCCCCCGCTGACATTTGTGGCAGCCGCGAATGAACTGGCGGACGAAGGTAAACATTCCGTGCCAGTAATACCTCTTTCGTACGCGCTCGTAGGTCTTGAAAACACCGGCGTGAGCACATTGCGGGTCGGAATGAAACGACGCGCAGATGGTAGAGCGCAGAGTTCGGGGAATGACTAGTAGCCATTTCCTACCATCTGCTGAATAGTTGTGCCGGTACAAAAGGCCATCCCGAATACTGAAGTGCGGAGCCTGGCGTCGCAGGGTTCGAGTGGTTGGAAGTGTCGGTGCCTCGGATAACGCGTCAAGAAGCAAAGCGATCCATGGGTCATTGCGTTGTGCAGAAGAGATGGTGTCCTCGTCAAGCGCTGACAACGTGTTGTCCGAGGAAACAGATGCGATGTCCGGGGATAGGGGAGATCGTGACAGTGCATCAGCATCGGCATGCTTGTGGCCGGAACGATATACCACGCGAATGTCATATTCTTGAAGCCGAAGAGCCCAACGGGCAAGACGACCCGATGGGTCCTTAAGCCAAGATAACCAGCATAATGCTGTGGTGGTCCGTTACTACATCAAAAGCACGGCCATAAAGGTATGGGCGAAACTTGACAAGCGCCCAAATGATCGCCAAGCATTCCTTCTCGGTGACGCTGTAGTTTGATTCAATCTTGGTAAGAGTTCTGCTGGCGTAGGCGACGACATACTCGGCGAATCCAGGCTTGCGTTGCGCGAGAACCGCACCGAGGCCGACACCACTGGCATCGGTGTGGACCTCAGT